AATATTTTTTTTCAATATTTTTCAATACGATTTTTTGCAACTATGTTGACTTGAGAATTCTACTAATACATTCTTAGAGTTAGGTACCGGATGACAGTAGACTTAGGTACTTCTGACAACAGTTTCATTTCTTATTTATTCTTTGCAGCAAACTTTCAAAAGTTTTTTGAGAGAGAGGAATGACACTACCTTCATATTTTTATCATGTGTATAACATTAAAAAATATAAAATGATAAATAAGTGTAGTGAACATAGCTGCCAGATTTGACGATTCTTCGTTTCAAAAATAGCAAAGTGACGATTTGACGATTTTTTAATTGAAAATGACGATTTTTTAAAAATTAAAAAAATTAAAGATTTATATTTTTTTTTATTTTACAGTGAAAAAAGGAAATTAATATTAAACTTGGAATTCAGTAAAAATTTATATTATAATGAAAACTAGAAATTAAATTCTAGAAGAGCTATTATAAAACATTCTAAATGTGTATGCTACACTGAAAATAATCCATGATCAACTTTACGAAAAAAATTTCCTAACTTCTATTTTTGTAATATTTACAAAAATTTCGTGTATAATACGAAATATTATTTCATAAAACTCTTTTCTATTTTTACGAAAGTACGAAAACCTTTCGTAATATTTTTTTCTTAAATTTAAGCGAAATTAAACATAATGATATTAATTATATTACCATTAAATAAAACTACATTTTTATAAAATTTAAGAAAAAGTATAATATTATTCACGAATTATTTTCTTAAAAAAAAAATTAAAAATTCGTGTGGAGAATAATTTTGAACTAAAATTAGAAAAATTATTTTAAAATGAACAAAAATGTTTGCATAAATTAATATTTCGTAAATTTTACCATATTTATTCAAAATTCACTTTTTTCAATTTATGTATGTAAATTAATTTTTCCAAGATTATTTTGTATTATACTAAAATATTTCGTACAATTTCTTATATATTACGAAAGAATTTCGTGGTGCGAAACAACGAGCGATTCGTACAATGTACGACATTTTTCGTATATATTAGGCATGGATTTTTTTCAGTGTATCTACATTATTTCTTATAACTTTTGAAGAGGTCGACATATCTGAACCAAATTTTTACACTGTATAAGTTAAATCCAGTACAAACAAGTTTTGTAAAAGAACTAAATTTTAGGAATAAATCTCACCAAGTTTAATCTTTTTATATATACACAGCAAAAAATAGTGCTTCCTCAGAAGCAGACGCCAGAACGTTGAAAACATTAAGAGAACATTAGAAAAGAATTAACATTACTGTCGAATATTCTTCAAAACTTAAAGTTTATTGAATTTTGAGCAATAATATTCCGTATTTTCCGTATTTTACATAAATTATTATAAATATTATAAATTTTTTAATATATTTCATCTTAAAATATTGCAATATTTTTAATTTTTTATAAAAATTTTAAGTTTTTCATATTTTCCGATTTTTTTTTGACGATTTCTGAAAACCAAAATGACGATTATTTAAAAATTTATCGGAAAATTGACGATTTTTTCAAAAAATTATCTGGCAGCCCTGGTAGTGAAGTGAGGTAAAAATTCCAGAACATAGAAAAACGAAAACAAAATTTAGAGGTAAAAACATAAACATGGAGTGAACAGTGGACATATGTATGTAAAATACTATCCATTAATTTTTAAATAAAAATAATAAATTGTCCCACTGTTAAATTATTAACCAATAGAAACAAAGATTGTGTGACGTCAGAGCTCCTATATCCCCGTGTCTATATTAGATAAATATTTATCACGGCACTTGAAAAAACGTAGGCAGTAACATTTTCAGTTTTTTGTTTATGTTAATGCATAGGGGTAACAAAATGCTGATTTTATCACGACAACTCACAGATAATTTTATTGAAATAATGCTATATTTTATAAAAACAATTAAAATTAAATGTAAATTTTTTAAATAAACGCTAATTTCACTAAAACTTATGTTTAAAATTAATTCTAATTGTACACAAATAAAATTCTAAACAAATTTTACAAAAACAATGACGTTTGTTATCAAGACAACGTTGTCTAAACAATTGTTTAGACAACACTGTTATAACGACGTTATAACGCTAATAAATGCCGTCTCTACCTGTTAATTTTGTATCATGATAACAATTTGACGTTTAGCATAATAAATATTTGTCTAATATAGACAATTGTTGACCGAGTATATCATTTTTTAATGTTCAGAAACTCAGTTTCCTGGACCTAATTCCTAAGAATTTTCCAATCAGTGTTAGTCAGGAATGTTATATCCGGAATAACATCACTTCCAAGATACTTGGATCTATCTTCGAATAATTCCTGACAGTGGCAAAGAAAGTGGTCCAGAGTTTCACTGTCCTCTCCACATGCTCTACATTCGTCTGAATCCGCACGGCCAATTTTGTATAAATGTGCTCGTAATCATGTGTGTCCATTCAGAATTCGTACCATCATACTAACTTCAGACTTTCTCATTTTGAGGAGATTTCTCGTCTTGTTCTCATCAGGGTCATCCATAGGATGTTTGTGGTTCTACCTACCAAGAGGCCTTAAAGGATTCTCTCACTCATATTTTTAATTCAGCTTTTGTTGCGTCAAATGATTTTGCTTTTGTCAGGTTAACTACCTCGAGCTCCCTTCCCTTTAAAGCTATTACATTCGCCCTTTCGTTGCCAACTTTCGAGTGGCCTAGTACCCATATGATGTAAACATTACCTCTGGGTGAGTATTCAGTTAAAGCTTTCTTACAACCCAATACGGTCTTAGATTTAATTCTATCACCTGATATCGCCCTAATTGCCTACTGGGCTGTGGGCGCCATATTTATTGTTCGGACTCCTGCCTGGAAGCTTATGTTATGATTAGGTAAACGATGGTATATTTCTGTTTCTGGGTGTTCAATATAGAACCCGAGGCCCACTTTATCCCCTAATTTAGAGCCTTCCGTGTAACAACGGATTTCTGCTGCTATTTGCTCTAGTGTTCCTCATTATCAAGACATTCTATCTGGGATCAGCGTTTCAAAGTTTCCGACATATTCTGTGTCTGGTATGCGATCAGGCATGTTCGATGATTGTGTATAACCTTCCAATGTGTCCAGTATAACCTATAACCGCTTTTGGCCAGTTCGCCCAAAGTAAAGAGCCGTTCGGCTGTGAGCGCCGCCTCATATCTTAAATATGTTTACATGGGTGGAATATCTATCAACTTTTCTAGCTTTGGTTGAAGTAGTACATATGCCACCACTTATACCCAAGTAGCATGTACGCTGAACTCCCTGTAGTAGATTGATATTACACTTTTTGTCCAAAACAGTCCACCAGATTATTGAAGCATAAGCAAGAATTAGTCTAATTTCACTTTTTTAAAGCCAATTTGTCATAGTAGGACTAAGACCCCATTTCATGCGTATAGTTCTCCTACATATCGCCCAGCGCCTAAGTGCCTTGTTGATTGTATCCTCTATATGGTGTCTCCATTTTAATTTCCTGTCAAGGATTACACCTAAGTACTTAACTTTGTCCGTCAACGGTATCTTCTTGCAAAGGATTCAGGGTTCAGTATACGTAGAAATTTTTATCATTCGTGTGAAAAGGCAGATTTCCGTGTTCGCCAGGTTAACATTGAGGCTTCTCGGTTGAGCCCAGCTCAAGGCCTCCTCTGCTCTTCTACACAAGTAATTTGGATCCTTTTCCTTTAAAAGTATTACGTCATCGTCTGCATAACAGACAGGACTAAGTCCTTTATCATTTAGGGTCCTTAGGAGACTATTAATCGTGGTAACCCAGAGTAAAGGTAACAAAATGCCACCCTGTGGTATAACCTTTTTCCTGATAGTTATATCTTACATCTGGCAGCTTATCCATCTGTTCCTTAGCATGTACTTGATCCAGTTACGGAGTACCAGGTCAACATAAAGCTGGTCTAGGGAATGGATAAGAGTATCAGTGTGCACGTTATTGAAGGCGCCTTCGATGTCAATGCATAACGCCAATGTATACAGTTTGCTATCAAAGGATTCACCTATGTAGTGGACAACTTCGTTTAAAGCGGTTTGCACCGGTCGTCCCTTTACATAAGCATGGTGCTTATATGTAAGGTCTTTGTCTGGTATACTGCTTTTAACCATACTATCGACTATCCGTTCCAAGGTTTTAAGTAGGAAAGACGTAAGACTTATCTGTCGTTAGGACTTAGGTTTGGGTATGCATATTACCTTGCATCCTGCCATTTAACTGGGTATATGCTAATTTCAAGCATGCAGTAAACATCTGTGACAGATGTACGGAAACCAGTCCCGCCTCCATCTGCAAAAGCGCCGGGAAAATGCCATCCAGCCATGCAGCTTTATAGGGAGCAAAGCTCTTGATTGCCCCTTTAACCATGTCAGATGTAATAACTATTTCCGTATTAGCCTCCCCTTCCTCCAATATCGGCTCATTTATGCTATTCGATATACCGGATGGAAAATGAGGGTTTATTAGGAGTTTCAGTGTGTCGTCCATATCCTCCAGCCTCTTGCCCGTGTCATCGATCATAGATTCCGGCTGGACATGAGTTTTGGATATGAACTTTTTATCTTCGATACCTCATTGACGCAATCTACCTGTTCACTGAAGAGTTTCCAGGAGTCTCGTTTGGCTTTTCGAACGGTTAAATAGTTTGCGAAGAGTCTTTCCAAAGTTCCGGATCTCCCGACTTACCCAGGGTTTCTCATGGACAGATCTAGCTACAACTGAACTAAAGCAATATTCAATATTATAACACCAAAGAGAACGTTTTCATTAAACAAGTCTGGTAAATCCCTAATTAGAAAGCAACTAAGAAGTTGAAGTAAACTTTTAGCACGAATATATACCATCATGATTATGTCATTAATCGGTATTATTCTAATGGAAAGAACGATAAGTATAAAGTTGGCTCTAAGCGACTTAACTTTATTAAATGTAGTAAAATTTTGACTTACGTGTCACCATTTTGATGGGGTATATCGGAGGATGGGCCTGATCAGATTTATCGCCATTTCTAGGATTAGGTCTCCATTCTGCCACACGCTGAGCAAATGAACCCCAAACTGCATGACCCGTTTGCTGCTTAACTAAATAACTATATAAATTTTATTACGTTAAAGTTTTTCTAATAGATTTTTTTATTTTGTTACTAACTCCAAATCAATTGCCTGGGAAAACATATTAGTTTCCGTACGTGGATAACTTATGATACCCTCGTTATATAAATCTTGCGCTATAGTCATAACTTCTTTGGCGGATAATTTCAATATACGGGAACCTAATTTCTCCAATTCCACCGTATTCAAAGGTGTGGGTCGCCATTTGGTTTTTTGTTCTATAGTAACACTTTCCACAGTCGCGATGGGGTTTGATATAACCGAAAGATAATAGTCTTCACAGGCCTGTTTATCAAAGAGACGATTGCGGGCCCAAACGAATTCTACCGTAACATCGTCTATGGTATGCGTTACTGAGTTAAATAAAAACAAGTTAGAGTGCTATATTCGGCTAAGCCGAATCTTAAATACCCTCCACCAGCTACTTTTATATTAATACTTTTCTAATTGATCAAATATTTGTAGAAATAAGTTTTCTCATGTCTTAAATAGAAAAAATCCCAAGATTTATTTAATTTTGTAATAAGTTATGAGTATTTATGTGATTTTCTGAAGGGAAACATGTATAGGACCGACCGCACCCATGTTATGAACCGATCGTGAAAAAATCTTGAAATATAATTTTTGTATACAAAACTAATATTTGTGCCAAATTGTGTATCAATAGCTTTATTTGGTAATGAGTAATGTGCGTTTAAGAGATTTTCGTAAAAGGACCATGTATGGGAGCTATGACCAATTATGTATATAAAGACAAAATTTCAAAATTCTGTATCTATATAATTATTTGGTAATGAATATTGTGCATTTAAGTGATTTTCTGGAGGGGACCTAGTATGAGAGCTATGACCAAATATGGACCGATTGCAAAACAATTCTATAGTGTAATTTATGTATATAAGAGCAATATTTGTGCTAAATGTTTATATATCAATATTTTGTAATGAGTTATGTGCGTTGAATTGATTTTCGGGAGGGGACCTTGTATGGGAACTATGACCAATTATGGACCGATCCGAAAAAAACTTCCATAATAACATTTCTGTATATGTGAGCAATACTTGTACCAAATTTTATATGGATATTTTAATTTAGTAATGAGTTATGTGCGTTTAAGTGATTTTCGGGATTGGACCTTGTACGGGAGCTATGACCAATTATGGACCGATCGGAAAAAAATTCCATAGTAATATTTCTATATGTGAGAGCAATACTTGTACCAAACTTTATATGGATATTTTAATTTAGTAATGAGTTATGTGTGTTTAAGTGATTTTCGGGATTGGACCTTGTACGGAGCTATGACCAATTATGGACCGATCGGAAAAAAATTTCATAGTAATATTTATATATGTGAGAGCAAAACATGTACCAAATTTTATATGGATATTTTAATTTAGTAATGAGTTATGTGTGTTTAAGTGATTTTCGGGAAGGGATCTTGTATGGGAGCTATGACCAATTATGGACCGATCGGAAAAAAATTCACAGTAATATTTCTGTGCATATGAGCAAAACTTGTACCAAACTTTATATGGATATTTTAATTTAGTAATGAGTTATGTGTGTTTAAGTGATTTTCGGGAGGGGACCTCGTATGGGAGCTATGACCAATTATGGACCGATCGGAAAAAAATTTCATAGTAATATTTCTGTATATGTGAGCAATACTTGTACCAAATTTTATATGGATATCTTGATTTAGTAATGAGTTATGTGCGTTTAAGTGATTTTCGGGAGGGGACCTTGTATGGGAGCTATGACCAATTATGGACCGATCGGAAAAAAATTTCACAGTAATATTTCTGTGCATATGAGTAATACTTATTCCAAATATGGATATCTTAATTTAGTAATGAGTTATGCGCGTTTGAGTGATTTTCGGGAGGGGACCTTGTATGGGAGCTATGACCAATTATGGACCGATCGGAAAAAACTTTCACAGTAATATTTTTATGCATATGGGCAATACTTATACCAAATTTTGTATGGATATCTTAATTTAGTAATGAGTTATGCGCCTTTAAGTGATTTTCGGGAGGGGACCTTGTATGGGAGCTATGACCAATTTTGAACCGATCAAAAAAAATTTTCACAGTAATATTTCTATGCATGTGTGCAATTTTTATACCAAATTTTATATGGATATCTTAATTAAGTAACGATTTACGTGCGTTTAAGTGATTTTCGGGATGGGACCTTGTATGGGAGCTATGACCAATTTTGGACCGATCGGAAAAAACTTTCACAGTTATATTTCTATGCATATGGGCAATACTTATACCAAATTTTATATGGATATCTTAATTAAGTAATGAGTTATGCGCGTTTAAGTGATTTTCGGGAGGGGACCTTGTATGGGAGCTATGACTAATTATGGACCGATCGGAAAAAACTTTCACAGTAATATTTCTATGTATATGGGCAATATTTATACCAAATCTTGTATGGATATCTTAATTTAGTAATGAGTTATGCGCGTTTAAGTGATTTTCGGGAGGGGATCTTGTATGGGAGCTATGACCAATTTTGAACCGATCGGAAAAAAATTTCACAGTTATATTTCTATGCATATGGGCAATACTTATACCAAATTTTATATGGATATCTTAATTTAGTAATGAGTTATGCGCGTTTAAGTGATTTTCGGGAGGGGACCTTGTATGGGAGCTATGTCCAATTATGGACCGATCCAGAAAATTTTTCTCTGAAAGAATTCTATTGACATAAGATTTTAATTTGTAAAATTTTGTGAAGATATCGACATTGTGATGGAAGTTATTAACGAAAAACCCATTTTCCGGGAATATGTACTTTTGTATGGGAGGTATATGAAATTGTGGACCGATTCTGGCAATTTTCTGCACGGATCAAGATCTTGTGTAGAAACGAATGTATGGTGATTTTCATGGAATTATCTTGCATAGTTTTTGAGAAAATTACATTAGAATGTGTAAAAAATGCTTATTTTTTTCGAGGTTGTTTTAAATTTTGATTCATAACTTTTCCCGATGTGAACCGATTTTGCTCATTTTCAATACCAAACTGTACCGGATAATAGTGAATATTTTGGGTGAATTTGGTTAAATTATATTGCTTCGTTTTAACGTGAGCGTGTTTTACACAGACGGACGGACAGACGGACATAGCTAAATCGACTCAGAATTTCATAAGGACCCAGAATATATATACTTTGTTGGGTCTCAGATGAATATTTCTTGGTGTTACGCACGGAATGACAAAGTTATATATACCCTCTATCACCACTGATGGTGGTGGAGGGTATAAAAAATATAAATTATAGGATTGGGATAGAGAAAATATATCTACCCTTAATCTTCCAAAAAGGTTCCGACACAAATGCTTCAATTTCCTTATAGCGTTCGGCCACAAAACCCAATGTGGGTATTTGACAGCTGCCATAAGATATTAATTGGTTATTAGATATTTTTATGGGAAATAATCTTCTTAAGTGCATTGTTTGTAAACGTGTTATAGCCGCTCCTGACCTTAAATCCAATTCTCTACGCACATCCACTGCATCACTTTGACGTTTGTCCGGCTGTGTTAAGTTCTGTAGGGCACTATTAACCGCAGCGTTAGTAATTTCCGAGAATTTCGCCCTATATACGGTAATATTAGGATTAATAGCACGACATACATCTATAATTTCAAAACCAATATTCTCGCCCTCACGATCACAATCTGTCCATACGATTAAACCATTGCAACTGCGTACCACCTGTTCCAGAGTGTGTTTTATATATTTTTCACTGCAAGCTTTGTGTACGGGTGCATCGAATAGGCTTTGTGGATCAACGTCATCCCAAGTAGAATAATTACTAGGAAATTCGAATGACATCAAATGTCCTGACACCGATGTCATTATCATTTCACTTTTGATACCCTGAACTGTTGCTTCAAATTCATAAATTTTATTATAAACCGAAAAGCCTTCACTCTAAAAGATTTTAAAAATAATGTTTACCTACTTATTCCGGAATTATTTTATTGCTGCAAACTTACTCTTCTGACCGTTCCAGGATAGTACAATTTATCAGCTATTTCCTTAGCTGCACGGTTTTTCTCCGCCACATTTAAGTACTTCATATCCACGTTTAGGTCTTTTTTAGCGTAGTATCTTTTAGACAAAGAGAAATTATAATATTTCCGCCAAATAAAAATATTTTTGTTTTTGTTTAAGTTACTTAGCTCCACTAAGAATTACTAAATTATAAATAGCTAATGATTGAGATGAAATTCAGATGATCATATTATACTATTTTCGGAAATTTTACCTTATGAAATGAGTGTTTTAGACATGAAAAGATGACATGAGAAGAATCGTCCAACACTCTACAAAGGTTGCACTCAGCAGAGATTGCGACACCTATTTTATTTAATATTTGACCACTGTGTTCGGCATTCTCAAGTCGGAGGCCATTGTGTACGTTGTGTGTCATTGACATTAGTCCATAAGTCATTCAATGTCCTAGGGAAATGTCTTCCAAATGCAATGCACTTTGTGAGTTTTATTCCATCATATTCCGTGCTCCATTCACCTTTAAGCATAGATTCTTTAACCAACAAGTCATCTTTCAATGACTGTCCTATTCTCCTGTTCTCCTTGCATTGTATGCTGCATCATACGCTTTTTTATTATCGTAAATGCCTGTAAGAATGGGAATATAGTTTATCGAATGAGTTCTTGTTCATCTTGTACAGAATTCTTCCAATGATATAATTATTAGAATTTCGTTTTTTTTTCAGTGAAAACATGCTGGTTTTTGAATCAGTAAAAATGGCAATTTCCTAAAACAATTTCGTATCGCAAAATCAGTCGCCAATTCTATGGCAATTAGTTCAGCTGAAGTAGAAGAGAATAATTTGTGGCTAAGTCCCGATCCTGTTGTATTGGATCCCAGATGAAAATATGCAAATCCGGTTAAATTGATAGTCACTGAGCCATCGGTGAATAAGATCTCATAGTCGTTCTGTTCGAGGGTAAATAATTTCTGCGAAAAGATACTGTTCACGATTTCGGTGTTGGCTTGCTCTTTCTTGTCGCACGTTCCTTCCAGTTGGGATTCTAATACCATCAAAGATGAATTTATATTCTTCTAATTTATTCGGGTAATCAGAAATTGGTAATTTGTAGACAATAGCTCTGAGTATTTCTCTACCTGTTGCTAGGACAAAACGATATTTAGGAGGAAGTTCAGCAGAGTGATTATATAAACTATATAGGTGTGGATTTCAATAAACCTGGAGCTTGTCTCAAAAATATGTATGTTGATTTTCGTCGAGACAAATTTTAAGGCCGTTTTCTCGAGATCGGCAAATGTAAAAACTGCATACTTTATCCGAGGTCTAGGTCTGAAGAGCTTTTCGAGTTTTGAATTCCTTTGTTCCGATGATTCAGTAAACGATACAAATTACAGGTTCGTTTTATATCGTTAAATGTCGACTTAATATGGTTCATGGAGGAGTTGTTGTGAGAGATTGTTCGTCCCAAATACTTAATTGTGTTGACATCCAGTATAGATTTGGATAGATTTATCTTCTCGAAGTTAAATGAAAATCCCAGATTATTACTTTTTAACATAAATTCACTTAGTTTATCTGAGAGTACGTTTTATCATCGTCAATATTATGTAATTTGGACATAAATATGTTAAAAACGACCGGGAATAAAGAGCTGCCTTCAGCTAGACCGTTGCACGTTTTCATATTCTCTTCACCTAGTACCAAGATGCGCTTAACCAGCGTATAGTTATTTAACTATACGCTGGTTAAACGCCTTATTTACAGAATTTATAACTCGTTGATACATTGCGCAGTTGATCTTTTCTTGCGAAAAGCATATGATCTATCAGGCAAGATGTTGTTGATTTCAATATGTTCTTCAATATATCATAGCCTCCAGACATTTAAATAGCACTGATAGCAGACAGATCGGTCTATGATTTTGAATCAGGGTAAAATCTTTATTTCTCTTGGGAACATGGCAGATTTTTATCTTTCTTCATTTATATATTATAGTATAATTTTCCCAATTCTTATTCAATAGATCAAACAGTTTTTTTTCTTTTAGTTATGTCTAAGTTTTATCCAGATTAGTTAATGTAATCTTCAAAAACGTCAAACGATAAGATATGGATATTGGAATTAGCAATGTCTTGCTCATTATAGATTATGGCTGTATTTGCAGTCGTAGGGTTGTCCTGAATGGCTTCCATGTTGAGGAATTTCTTCTTTTTTGGGGTTGCTTATACTTTATTAAATTCGACAGCTTTTTCCACATCTCTTTAATAGATGTAGGATTGGAAATCTCATCTAATAATTCAGTGCACGCTTTCTTTTTTTTTCCTTGATATATATAGGTATAACTGTTTATCTACTTCTTGATATTTATTATAGTCTTCAATTTTCTTACATTTAAAAAATCTGTTTCTTGGACTAAAAAGTATGTTCGCCTCTATTTTCCACCAACATTTTGGCTTCTTTCTGTAGGAAATGTTAATCGTGTTCTTAGATCTTAGTCTCCCAACGCTCTTTTGGAAATCATCTATGTCCCCTTTAATTTGCAATTTGCTTACATATATCCTTGTAAAGGTTTGTTCTATCCAGTATTTTATTCATTTTTTGTCAAATCGGGTGAGAATTTTAGTTCGATAATTATAGGGAAATGCTTAATGCTTGTCGTCAATCCTGTTACAAAATGTTACATATAGTGCTGAGGAATTTCAGTTCGTAGTGGCTATTTAAAGGATCCGTCATTGATTCAGTTAAAGTTTGTTATATTCATTAAATCTTCCAAAATTTTACACTTGCGGTCCTCAGTTTGTATCCAAGAGGTTGGATTTTGAGTTCAAATCTCCGCATATTAATGTTAAGTTCCTTTGAACGTGACCAAACAGAAAGTCTCATTTCGAAGGCGAAATCTTCCATATTCAACTTAGGAGGACTATAATTGTGACCTTGTGTTTCAAGTTAATAGCAGAGATTGAGAGAGTATCAAAGTTCAGACATTCACAATATATTTGATGGATTTTTTGATGTAGAACCCTACACCTCCAAAAGCCATCGTTTCTATTCTTTCAGACAAAATTATATATGTATATAGTCACGTTTCTAATAGGATATCGATATTATTATTTCTTATATAGATTTCCAATAGTTCTTTGTTCCCTTTTTCCTTAAGCTTTGTACGTTAACTTGTAGTTTAATTTTGTTGACCAATAATTTAAAATGTTTCTTTTATTATCCTTTCAGCATCAATAAGTTTCAACCCCTTATATTTCCTCATATTTGTAAAAAAAAAAAAAATATTATTTGATCTGGGTTAAGCCTCCTATTAAGTGATTATATTTGTAGTGTCCCTGTAGACTTTCGATAAAATGTCTTCAGTTTTCTCATGGTTTGCCAATAGATCTGCCGAATCCAAAATGGAATGTTCGTGTTCGCATCTTTTGCTGGTACATGGTTTTGACTGTGAGTTCGACTGGCGATCATAATGAAAATGAAAACTTTTCGATACTCCTTGTTAGTTTTACGTGAATTAACTTCCTCCCGTTCTCCAATCATGTTTAAGTTTGTGGCCTTTGATCTTGATGTTTGTCTTGATGTTTGCCCAGATTGTTGTTTGCAAACTTATTTGAAACTTTTCTGGGTTCCTGAATGGTAAGATTTTCTATGGTCATAAGTTTTTTTTAATGACATACGCCTTTGACCTTTCCGTTTAATCCTTAAAGTTAGGTGGATGATTATCCTTACAGTTTGTGCGTCTTACTTTAAAACAATTATCTTCATCAGCATGTTGATTACAACATTTACGACATAGTTTGAAACTTTGCTTGCAGTGTTCTGAAAAGTGGTTGAATCTGTTACAACGAAAACATTGACCAAACGGGATATAATAGCTAACTTTAATTTTCGTATAGCCATAACTGATTTCCTTCGAGTTCAGTGTTCCCTTAAAACTAATTTTCATATTTCTCGACAAAATCTGCTCAGTACGGCATTCAGGGTTTTCCCTTTTAGGTGTTATTTTTATAACCTTATTAATCTCAATTGAAGAGTATACTGAGTCTAAGGATTATTTCTCCGAAATATCTAAAGGTATGTCAAATATCATACCAATCTTTGGGATCTGAATCCTTTTCAGTAATTCCTTTGTCTTGCGCAATATCGTTAGCCGCTGAAAAGTTTTTAAATGTGACCTTAGATCTGCCAAAACCAGGTATTTCCTTATACCTTTTTCATCGTAAAGAACAATAAAATCTATGAACGGGCCCTTGTGTTCTGCATCATAATAACATTCCTTTTATCTATCCGAATTTGTGTCAAGGCCATATCCGACTTACCCGCCAAATCCACATCTGATTAGTTTCATCTTCCAAGATCTTTCTTCGCTTCCCATGTTCATCATCAACAAAAATTTTATGTCCCAATGATGAAAAATAATGAGATGATAAAATGATGAAATTCCAAAATGATGAAATTCCAAATAAATTTTATGACTTTGAGTGACTCAGTTTTTTTATACAAAAACTACAAAATAACAGCTCACAATCAACGGTATTTCGCACAAAAAAAAAAGTATATGATAAAAGGCACTTGTAAGAACGAGACAGAAAATGCAACGACAACTATAATGCAACACGTCCAAACACCACGAACGATCAAACAAGAATAATAATATTTTTGCATAAACATAAAATATTTGCACATCAGTGTTGCCAGAATAAATTATTTGATATTTTAGCAAAAGTGGAAGGAAAAATTATTTTTTGATTCGAATTTGAATAATCCAATTGGAATTTTGTTGAAAATTTTCGATTTTACTATGTTGAAAAAGTTATTTGCCAAATTATATAAAAATATAACGGTTAATAAAACAACCATTTGATAAAACAGCCATAATAAAATTTAAAAAAAAAAAGTTTGTTACTTTAGGACACACCCTATAACTATGAAATCAGCTGCGTTCGTTTCTGTTTCATTATTGTTTGACATTCGTAATGGATTTTTATTTTATTTATTTATTTTATTACCATATCCTAGCATTTATAAGGCCATAGGCGGCAACAAATTTATACTAAAATACATCAAAATTTTCTTATAATATAGAAAATACAATACAAAAAAAAAAAAAAAAAACTTAACAAATAAACAAGTAGGAAAGTATAGTCGGGCATGGCCGACCATATAATACCCTACACCATGAGTATATTTTAAAAATTTTTATTTTTCACAAGAAACTTTTATGTTGAATTTTACCTTAATTCCAAAGTATTTACGCAATTTATTGATAAAAAACAAATTTTCTAAATGAAGCTTTATATAGGAGTATAGGTAAAACATGGGCCGATCCTCATTAAATTTGGGAACAGGATGTATTTTTAAATAATAGTTAATTATGTTGAGTTTCATTGCGATACAAATGGTTACAAGTCAATTTTAGACATTTTTTGAAGGGGGGTTTGTATGGGGGCTAGGGTCAAATAAGGGCCGATCATTACGAAAATCTGCAGTATACTTATATAAAACTTATTTGTGCCAATTTTTAGAGAGATAATAGCATATTTGACGTAATTAGGGCATAAAAAGCCCAAATCGGGAGGTACGGTTGCATGGGGGCTATGTGAAATAATGGACCGATTTCAACCATTTTCAATAGGCTTCGTCCTTGTGCCAAAAAACATGCTTGGTCCAAATTTCATCAAATTATCTTGAAAATTGCGGCCTGTACCTTGCGCACAAGGTTTACATGGACAGCCAGCCAGCCAGCCGGACAGACGGACGGACGGACATGTCTTAATCGACTCAAAATGTGTTTCTGAGTCGATCGGTATACTTAAAGGTGGGTGTAGGACCAATATTTTGTGTGTTACAAACATCAGCACAAACGTATAATACCCTCCCCACTATAGTGGTGTAGGGTATAAAAATTGCAGTCGGGTGAGGCCGACCATATAATATTCTACACCAGTTATAAAAATAAAATGTGAATTAGTTTTCATAATAAAGCATTTAAGTGGAATTGTACCTTGCCTAAGATATACTTAAGCCATTTATTGTTAAATAAAATTGTGGACATTTAAGTCATATTTTGAAAAGGGCTTTGTATAGGGGCTAGGGCCAAATGAGGTACATCAAAGCTAGTATAGAATATGGTTTTGCAGCTTTTTGTCGAGATACGAGTATATTAAACATAATTATGAACTTAAAAGCCCTAATCGTCGGGTTCAGTTGTATGGGTTTAGGTGAAATAATGGACCGATGTTAACCATTTTCAATAGGCTTTGTCTCTGGCACAATAGAAGATCATGTGCCAAATTTCATTGAATTATCTTCAAATTTACATGGACGGTCGGCCAGGCGGACGAATATCAACTCAGAAAATAATTCTATATCGATTGGTAAACTTTAAGGGTGATATAGAGCCAATATTATTGTGCCTTACAAACATCAGCACAAACCCAATATACCCTCCCCACCAAAAGGGGTGTAGGGTATAAAAATTTAACAATATATTTTTAATATCTATAAAATTTTAAAAGAAAAGGTAAATATATATAATTTCCAAAAATGCAAATAAATAAATTAAATATTAGATTATACAACTATGCAAATAAATTGATACATTATTTGAAACTTTATGGAGAAGAAAGTTATTTATTTAATTATTTATTTATTATTAGTAATATCAAGCCATACTGGTCAATACCCCATTTACACATACACAAAATCTAGTAGATTTCATTTAAAATCTTTTCGAAAACTAGACCGTTTACACTTGTTCTTCTGAACATTTAGGAAGATATCACTTTTCCTAATATTTCTCGAAAAAGTGTGTGATATGAAAAATAAGAAGGAAAATGGGATATTTATTAAATTTTTATATATAATAAAAAAATAGATATTTAAATATAACAATACCTTTTATTTTAGCTTAACTTTTCATTCATGTTTTTAAATTTATAAAAATTTTGTCGACATTTCAGTTTTTTTTTGTTTGTTTTTCGCTTCTTTCTTTGTTGCGTCGTATTTTTTAGTATTATTTATGGAAAAACAGAGTTGCATCAATAAAAACTATTAAGACCTAACTATAATATGCTTACACAAGCTGAAGTCACCTTAAGCAACTGAGCAAATACATATAAAACGTATGTATGTGACAAACTATAACTTAAGCTAAGAGCGATACTGACAGCACAGCACACGTAATCAATTGTTTGTTTATTATACAAAAAAAAAAAAAAAAATAAAAAAAAAATAAAAGAAAAAATTTAAATTGTTAAGAAAAATAATTTATTTCAATAAAATATTATGAAATATGTATTTTTTGTTTTTGTTATTACGTGTGGCACATAAAGAAATAAAACGTAAAGATGAGCTGAGACCATTATATACTACGAACTGTGATAACTACCTTTAAGATAAGATAGTATCGGTTTATAAGCTGACGATGAAAAGTTAAATTTCCAATAGACTACCGAAACAAATAGAATTAAAGGCTTTGGAGAGATCTAGAGAAACAAACACACTTAGTTCATCAGCATTAACATTATTTCTAATATGATCAGTGAGGCTAAGAAGTAACAATGTTGTGTTATAGCCTTTTCGAAAAGCATATTGACCCTCATATAACATTGATAGCGTAAAGGAAATCATCTGTTCTTTCATAATATGCTCAAGTACCTTTGATAAAGCAGGAAGAATATAAACAGATCTTAAGTCGTCCAGCCCATGAATTACAGTTGGCTTCGGTATAGGAACCACTCGAGCAGTTTTCTAACAAGATGGAGACAATGAAGTGGTTAAAATTAGTTTAAGAAATTGTAAAATGTAGCTAGATACAAATGGAAAACCCAACTTTATAAACCGAATGGGAATATTATCAACGTCAAGAGACTGTGATCTAATTTTACTCAAAGCATCCAATACCTCAAGCTCGTCAACACAATAAAAGGCTTCGAAATTAATATCATCAGAATGATCATCATTGCCCTTACCGACGACATAATCATTAATACGATTAACATCACCCTCAATAACTGAAGAATCATCCTTGACATCCTTTAAGAGCAGAAAACATGCCTTTAGTATCCATTACTGAGAAAAACTTCAAATAATAATTCCGCTTAATTCTACGTACAGTACTTTTGGCTCTATTAGGGTAAATACAATACGTTCTGCAGAACGGCAAGATTTATAAAACCGATAAGCAAGGCAGTTATACCTACTATAATTACCATGGCAGATTTTCTTCCTTACAATAGGAACAAATGTCATCATAGAATGAAAAAGTGGGGAAAGACGACAACATTTACCGTCAGTACAATCAGTATAAAAATCGGATTCAAAATCAGATACACAAGATAAAATACCTTCCCAATCAATACAGTTATAATCCCAATATTCAATAAATTCTTCCGAACTACGAATCTGAGAGTATCAGGAAATAAGCAAATAATAATAATACATGATGTGAGATTAAATCACATTGCAATTGATCAGAAAAACTCACCATTGAATAAACACTAACCAAACAAAAGTCAATAAGTGAAGTAGACCCTATGCTGATTTATTACAGTCAAACAAGTTGGTATTGAAGTCACCAATTACAACTATATTAATATACCTCAAAAATAAATTCCTATGAATATTTTCAAATGAAAGAAATTCACCCGAAGGCAAATAAACAACCCTGAATAACAACTTTGATCCATTGTTATCAATCTCAATAAAAAGAGATTCACAAGATTCCAACTGAGAGACCTGGAACACTTCCTTAATATGAATAAAAAGAGCACATCGATTATACTGTACACTAGCCTGAGTTTTAGAAATATTATCAAGGCATTTTCCGCACTTATAAGTTTTGTTAGTTTAGCTCGGATGTAAATGACAGTTCATCAATAGGATCAGGGAGCAGATCACTGATATTACTTTGGTAGGGAACACTGACTCAGAATTTTTGATTAGCTATGACTCGAGTGCTCATTCTCCGATCATCACAGAATAATTTTTACGATACAGCTTACGATGGATAGGCAAAACCCCTTTCGAAATCTTAGGAAAACCGACCGGGTCGAACTCAGTAATCTTATTGATACCACACCACCTTCAGAAATGGATGGACTACATGATACACATGACTTGGAACACTCAGTAGATTATCTATCCAGGACTTTAAGCGATACCTACTATGCAGCATGTAGGGAGCGGCTGGGATCTAAGAAATTCCGACAACCAAGGCAGAATCCTAAACTAATACAGCTAAGGAAAGAATGTAGGAAACTTTTAAATAAAACGAAGAGGAACTAATGGGACGATTATCGTCGAAGCTTTCAGGAGGGAAACCAGACAAGCTAAGAAGGAATCTTGGAAGCACTTCTGTGAGGAACTGTAGAGTACCATGGAGACATCACATCTGCGTAAGGTGCTATCCAAAGACCCCGGTACGGTGAGATCGGATGGTAACTTTACCTAAAGTAACTTCGAAACTCTGGAACTGCTTATGTGGACACACTTTCCGGGTTGCAGGGATGATGAAAATGAAGGATCCACTTCTCAAATCCACATAAGTGAATTAGTCAGCTCCATTATTAGTATTGAGAAAATTTCTTCAAGGCCAGAATGCATACTCCAAAAACCGATTACCACCATCATGCCATGGCTAATT